CTCCCCATGCGGCGGCGTGCACGAAAAAGACAAAGCAAAATGCAACAACACTCACCTGCACGGCATTGAAGAGCTTCGCCACGACGGTGGCCACGCCGCGAAAGAATGTCGGTCTGCTTCTGCCCTCCATGTGATCCTGCAGGCCGGCGACTTCAACGAAGGCTCCCCTCTGCTTGGCCCTATCTTGCTCGATGCCATTCGGGTACATTTCGGCGCTCGAGGGCGCAAAGACTGCGCTCACGCTGCGTGGCGCGTCTTCTGAAGAGGAGGAGAGCGAGGAGAGAGCGGCAAGATCGGAAGGCAAGGTACGCGGATAGCTGGAGAGATCTTCGGAGGGCGCAAACTGGGCGGGATTGACGTAGATGGAGACGATGGTGGAGTGCGTCTCGCGCAGAGAGGTGCGCACTACAAGCACACACACACGCAAGGAGAGAGGTTGGGTAAGCAGAAGTGTGGCAGGAGCGGGAGAGAGCGTGGAATGCGGAGAGAGAGCGAACCTCTTTGCCCTGCCGCGCTGCTCTGCGCAGTTCGCCAGCTCACGCCCCATGGCGCAAACACACGCACCTCTCCCTCTTGCCCTCCTCTCCTCGCGCGTCCCTCGAGAACTGCAGGCTCACCCAGATCCAAGTGGCCCTGATGCAGTGCGCCCATGGTGGGCACAAAGCCGACGGTCTCATTGCGTGCAAAGCGCTCCTTGCGCCATGCACGCAGCTCTGCGAGCGTCGAGAGCACGGCGATGCCCGAGGCGTGCGAGGCGCGCGCCACGTCGGCGGCGGCGGCGGAGGAGGCGGCGAGGCTGGAGGAGGCCATGCTGCGGCGCGAGAGGGGGAGGGAGAGGAGAGAGAGACGAGAGGGAGCGGCGAGTGGCCGGCGAAGCATCATCGAGCTTGCCGCAAAGCTGAGCGGCCTGCTGCTGCTGCGCTGGAGCGTCGAGGCGAGAGCGGAGGTGGAGGCGAATGGGGAAGGGAAGCGAGCCACTCCTCCGTGGCTCAGGCCCGTGCGGCACCAGCCAACAAGGCACGCCTTCGCGCGCGCGGGAGTCGCGCCGACGCCGCTGCGCGCCAGCCAACCGCGCGCCCAGCTTGGCTGGTGCGCGCCGCGTCGCGAGCTCCACACCGCGACGGCGACGGCGACGGCGACGGCGACGGCGAGACGCGCCGCGCGCTTGTCTCTCCCTCTCTCGCACTCCAGCTCCTTGCCCGCCCGCCGCTGCAGCCAAGCAAGGCGGCCTCTGTCGCCTCTCCATCAACGCACGCACGCCTCCTTCATCGCCGCGCATGCTCCCTCCTTGACGCCTCCCCCCCCCCCCCCCCCCCCACCCACGCCCTCTCTCGCGCGAGGCCCCATGTTGCCGCCCTCCGCGCACGGCGCGCCGCCCGGCCTCGGCGCTCCCGCTCCCAGTCCCGCCCTCTCCGCCCGCTCGTCGCGCGCCATTCCCATCGTCGCGCCCGTCGCCGGCAGCGGCAGCGCTGGCGCGGGTGAGGCTGCCTCTGTCTCGGCGTCCGGTGCCGCCGCCTCGTCGCTCTCGCCGCGGCCCGCGCCTCGGCTGGCCGCCGCGGCGGCGAAAGAAGAGGCGGCTGCCTCCACGCCGTCGAGCCCCATGCGTGCAGCTCTCTCGGCCCGAGCGGCAACGGCGGCCGTCTTTGTGCCCAAGGCGCCCGCCTCCTCCGCGCCTGGCGCAGGCGCTGGCGGCGCGGCGCCTTCGGCAAGCGACGCCGGCGCCGGCGCCGCGGGCGACGAGGAGAGCCTGGCGGGCGCCGCGGCCAGGCTCCACGTCGGCGGTGCAGCAGGGCAGACGAGCAGTGGCGGCGCCACCAACGCCAATGCAAGGCCGTTCAATCCGTATGCTCAGGCACACGTGCCGCAGCAACAGCAGCGCGGCACCGAGAGTGGACGGGCGACGCCCGATTGGCAGGCCGATGGCATGGTGAGTTTAGAGTGCGAGAAAGGCAGAACGGGCAAAGGCGGGGCTAGAGCGGGACGGCAGATGCTAGTAAGGAAGACGCTGAGGGGCTGATGCACATGTCTTCTCCGCTTCTCGTTCTGGCGCCCCTCGTGCGGCCCGTCCTCTCTCGCACAGCAACAAGCCTCGCTCTTCGATCCGACATACATGGGTCCCGTGCCCGGCGGCAACTCCAACTCCGTCGCTGCTGTCGGCGGCGGCGCCAACAGCGGCGAAGCACCTCGAGCGTTCAACCCCTACTCGCATCTCGACGCCTATGGCCAGTCCACCTCGGACTCGGGCTTCGAGGCTCGCGGCTCCTCGCGTGCGCCTCAGCCTCTCTCCTACGCCATGCACACGGCGCCCTTGCCGCACGTGTCGAATCTGCATCCTCACCATCTCTCCTCGCACGCCTTTTTCCTCTCGCCCACGCAGCGCGAGGAGCTGGCGCGCCGCAACGACGCCGTGCACGCGGCGGCCGTGCCGCCAGAGCAGGGCGGCCCGCATCTGCCAGAGGAGCTGCACGTCTATCACTCCCTCGTGCCCCTCGAGGCAGCGCATGGCTCGGCCTTGCCGCCCGCCCTCACCGATCCGCGCGTCGCGCCGCCCACGGCGCCCGGCGCCAGCCTGCATCTCAGCGGCGCCGCGGGCGAGCCTTCGCGCGTCTTTGGCTATCGCAGCACCGCCTACAAGGCCCTCTGCACCCTCGACGGCAAGGCGTACGTGCTGCGCAGACTCGAGGGCTTTCGACTGCAGCACGAGGCGGCCATTGGGCTGGTGGAGAGATGGAGAAGGATCAGACATCCAAGCATCGTCAGTGTGCGCGAGGCATTCACGACGCGAGCGTTTGGCGATCAATGTGAGTTTGCTCCGCCCTCTCATCTCTCTCTGCCTCGACGGTGCAAGAGTCTCTTTTTGCCCCCCCGATCGCTCACGGTTGCCTGCCTCGCAGCCATCGTCTTCGTGTACGACTACCATCCGCTCTCGACGACGCTGTACGGCGAGCATATGGTTCCCAAGCCTCCTCAACTCGACCGGCGCACTGGGCGTCTGCAAGCCGTGTCGATGAGCATCTCTGAGCGTACGCTGTGGAGCTACGCCACGCAGCTCACCAACGTGCTGCGCTGCATCCACGGCCACGGCCTGGCGGCGCGCTGCATCGAGCCGAGCAAGGTGCTGCGCACGGGCAAGAACCGAGTGCGCCTCAATGGCTGCAGTGTCTTTGATGTCATCGCCTATGATCCGCGCGCCTCGGCCAGCACCTTGGCGGCGCAGCAGGGCGAAGACCTGCTCAATCTCGGCAAGCTCCTCGTGTCGCTGGCATGCAACAGCATGGCCGCCGTGCAGAATCTGCCAAAGTCGCTCGAGCAAGTCACGCGGTCGTACAGCGCCGAACTCAAGAATCTCATCCTCTGGCTTCTCGGCAAGCCGGCGCCGAGCAAGACGGCGGATGAGCTGGGCAGACTGCTGGGAAGCCATGTGGCGGACGAAGTCGACTCGGCGTTGAACTATGCCGATCTGCTCGAGAGCGGCCTCTCCAAGGAGCTGGAGAACGCAAGACTGGTGCGCCTGCTCTGCAAGTTTGGCTTCATCAATGAGCGACCCGAGTGCGTTCTTTCTGCCCTTTCCCTCTTCACCCTTTTTTGCCCTTGGCTCACCCTCTGCTCCGCTGCATCCAGATTCGACCACGACCCGCGCTGGTCCGAGACGGGCGATCGCTACATCATCAAGCTGTTCCGCGACCACGTCTTCCACGCCGTCGACGACGCCGGCCGGCCCGTCGTGGATCTCTCGCACATCCTCACCAACCTCAACAAGCTGGATGCGGGCAGCGAGGAGAAGATGATGCTGACCAGTCGCGACGAACAGAGCTGTCTGGTCGTCAGCTATCGCGAGGTGAGTGTCATACCTTCGCTGCTCCCTGCTCTTTGCCCGTGAGCCCCGCCAAGCGCGCTTGTCCGCTGATCCTCCGTTTCCCTTGCGCTGCCTGTGCCCGCAGATCAAGAACTGCGTCGAAGCAGCCTTTCAAGATCTCTCTCGCGCTCGCTGAGGAGGGCATCTAGAGCCGCCCTGCCTGCGTCTGCATCTCGTCGCTCCCGTCGCACGTGCACACACACACACACCCGTCACCTCTGCTCTCTTCTTCCAGCTCTTCATTCCCTTTGTCCCCCTCCCTCTGGGTGCCCTATTTTTTTTTGCTTCTCTCTCTCATTCCCTCCAATCTGCTCTGTGTAGTCAGCATCCTCTCAATCTCCATCGTCTGTATGCTTCCCAATGTGCCTCCACGCGCGGCGAGCCGACTGATCATGCAACGGCCACTCACCAGCCCCCCCGCCCCCCCCCTCTCGAGGCGCTCTGGACGATCAACGCCTCTGCACCTTTTTGCGTCTCCCGCATGTCCCGCGCAGGCAGGAGAGCTTCGCACAGGTCACGCC